TCAATTCCCCACACACGCACCCACGCCTGGTTTTATTTTTTTTTTTTTTTTTTACTTTTCTTTTTTTTTTTTAAGATTTATTATTATTGTTATTTTTAATTTGACCAGAAAAAGAGAGAGAAAGGGAAAGTGAGAAAGCAAGGCACCAGATCTGGGACTCAGACTGCCATCGGCCGTGTGGGAGTTCAGCGCCTTAATCACCGTGCCACCTACTGGCCTCACAGACTTACAATTTTTTTTTTTTTTTCTGAGAGGTTTTGTTTCCTATAGGGTGCGGGCACTCGCCAGAAAGACAGAGAGACAGAAAGCGAGAAATCACCCATACACACACCACCACCACCACCACCACCACCCCCCCGGGGGATGGCCACACCGCAATCCTTTCTCCTCCATTCTCTCAGGATCTTGAGCACGCACGCACACGCACCCGCCGTCAGTTTAAGCCACTGGGTCCAGGACATGAACTGCAGTTGACTACGTGGGAGTCCAGCGACATAGCCATTATGCTAACTGCTGGTCCCCTGGACTTACTTTTTTTTTGGAAAGGTTTTTGCTATAGAGCGTGTGCGCTCGTCAGAAAGAGAGAGACAAGACAGAAAGCGAGAAATCTCCCCCCAGGGGGGATGGCCACGCTGCAGTCCCTTCTCCTCCATTCTCCTCTCAGGATCTTGGGCACGCACGCACACGCGCCCAGCTTGAGTTTAAGCCACCGGGTCCGGGACTCGAACCACGGTTGACTACATGAGAGTCCAGCAACATAGCCATCACACTAACTGCTAGTCCCTGGACTTACTATTTTTAATTCATTGATAGCAGAGGGATAGTCTTTGGTGTTGAGTGGTATATATAAAATAAACAGTTTTCATGTTATTTTGCCATATACATATAATTGTGTATTTTTTAATTATTCGGGACTTGGCACAATCCAGATACCCAAGGAATTAGGTAGTCTGGAGACCAACTGATCTCAATACATTCTGTTTACATTGTAGAGTCTAGAGTCTTAAAATGTTGGTAGTAGGACCAGCAGGTGTCATAATGATTATTATTTAGCTTTATTTATTTATTTAATTTTACCAGAGAAGGACACAGCCAGAGAGAGGAAAGTGAAAAAGCAAGCCACCAGGTCTGGGACTCAGTGGTTGGTCATGAGGGAGTCCAGTGCCTCCAACCACCATGTCACCTGCCAGCCCCAGAGATAGGCATCTTCTGATCTTTTTCTTAATTTTCTAAAAATTAATGAGAACATGCTGTTTTTCTTAACACATTTGTCAAATATCATTATAGGAATAAACTCGATGTTGAGTCTCATAGCATCCATAAATCCTTGCTTCTGTATAGAATTGTTATTTCTAATTTCCTAAGACTAGATAATGAATAAACTTAACTATTTAATATTAAATAACAGGTGATCATATTAAATTTAAAAGGTCACAGTAAGCTCAGTTTCCCAGTCATTAGTTATTAGGAAGTCATATTTGAGAGCCAGCAGGTGGCGTGGCAGTAAGGTACTGGACTCTCACATTGCCAGCTATGGTTTAAATACTGGACCTGGTGGTTTGCTTTCTTTCTCTCTAGTGAGCACACATGCCCTGTAGCAAATTTTAAAATAATAATGATAATAAATTACACTTAATAATTCTTTTAAAAAAATTTTTTTTTAAAGATCCAGATTCAGGCTTCCTGGTTAATCTATAATGATGGAAGAGAAACTGAAATATTCCACAGTAATAATAGATCCCAATTAGGAGACTATTATTACTTGTCTCTGCCTTTTTTTTTTTTTTTTTTTTGGAGAGGTTTTTGCTATAGGGCATGTGTGCTCCTTAGAAATAGGGACAGAAAGCGAGAAATCACCCTCCAGGGGGGATGGCCACACCACAATCCCTTCTCCATTCTCTTCTCAGGATCTTAGGCATCCATACACACACCCCCGGCGTGAGTTTAAGCCACTGGGTCTGGGACTCGAACCGCGGTCAACTACATGAGAGCCCAGCAATATAACCATTACCCTAACTGCTGGTCCCTCTCTTTGCCTTTTTCATATACAGTGTAGTAGCTGTACAGTGATTATATTCTTTATATATCTTTTGATTGTTGTTTGAGGGGAAAAGGAATAAAGAATGACATTATTTTAATTTGTCATCTGCTGTCTTCATACAGGAAGTTCACTGTAGAAACTATCTTTAATTCTCTATAAGCTTTTTGTTTTAGAACAGAAATCCGATGGACTGAAAATCTAAGCTGCATAAATTACTTTTCTAGTATTAGTTTTCATATGTAGTCTAAATTTCATTATAATCTTCCCTCTAATTTTACTCTGCATCTACTTCTCATAAACTGGAAAGTTGGGCCATCCTCAGTGGCCTGGTGGTTAAGGGAGTTGGATTCTACATGGTTGACCATGTGATTCAAATCTCAGCCTTGGTGGTAGCTTGAAAAACACGCCAGGCACATGCATGAATATGCCCCAAATCCTCACAGGATGGAAGAGAAGAGATTGTGGCTTGACCATACCCTAGTCAGGGGTGCTTTCTCCCTTTCCCTCTCACAATACTTCTGTCTCTTTCTGGCAAGCCCCTCTGGCAAAAAAGAAGGAAGGAAGGAAGGAAGGAAAGAAGGAAGGAAGGAAGGAAGGAAGTCAAATAGTGGGGGGTCAACAGATGGTGTGGTTATTAAGACCCTGTATTCCTAAATGGCTGACCATAGCTTGAGCCCCAGACTGGGTGATGTGAAAATCAGGGAAAAAAAGAAAGGCAAAATAATCCCATACAACAGTTGTAGAAACTGGCCTTAATGTGGCCATGAATTGTGTGTGTGTGTGTGTGTGTGTGTGTGTGTGTGTTACAGGAGAAAGTGACTATAATTCTATAATTCTGAAAGTGAGA